TAATATAACTACTACAGACTTTCATGTAAATACTTCAAATAACTACTACTACAGTCTTCCATGTAAATACGTAAAATAACTACTACTACAGACCTTCACTGTGAGCTCATCCTCATACACATAATCATTAATGTCAACTACAACTACAACAAATGTCACTCACACCTATTCTTCTTCTTACGTCCTTCTAATAATTACTTTTGTCATAATATTTTCTGCAGGAACGCATCACATAACAAATAGAATTCAAACGCTCTGTTTGTTATCCTGAGTTTGTCACCCCACATAAACGCCGCGACGTCACAGACTCACGCGCCGCACCCGACCCCTCCCCGTCTTGCACCCCCCCGGACCAGGAGTCCCGCCACCAGGAGGCGCCGGCGACACTCACCTTGCCGTTGAGTTCGCCGGACCACCAGATATCTTGTTGATATTTGACAAGGATGACGTCACCCTTACTGAAGGACAGATGGTTGTCCTTCTTCGCTTTCCAAGGACACAGGGCCTGCGCCTGCAGACCCTCGGGCGCCGCCGTCGTCTGAAACAAGCGAACGTGTCGTCGTACTGGCGCCATCTGGCGGACATTACGCAAAGGTTTTGTGACAAATTTTTTGGGCAACTTTTTTTTTAGCAAATAACTATCTATTTATATATCAAATCAAGCTTTTTGTATATTATGCTGTATTATCATACTTTTTCTATCTATAACAGTAACTATTTTCTCATCTGTTTATCAAAAATCTGCTGAATGAGGAAATATAAAATGAGGCACGACGACAGTGGCGAAAAATATCTGGAAATTCCGACGCTCACCTGTTTCTGTGACGACGTCGTCGTCACCTCTCTGAAACCCTCGCCACCAGGGGGCGTCGATCGCATGCTGTCCGGCACTCCGCCGTAGTCCGACGGCGGCGTGTCAGCAGCAGAGGGCGCCACCGTGGCCGCCTCGCCGCTCTCCTTGATCTCGCTGAAACGACGGTAACCATGACGACGAGCGTGGCAGAACCGCGATCAAATAATAATAATAATAATAATAATAATAATAATAGTAATAGTAATAATTAGGTAAACAAAAGTAGGAAAAAATTGAAGACGAATCCTAGATCGGCGATTAGTTTGCTAACCTGAGACTAGATGGCGCCGCCGTGCTGCCGAACAGGTCGCGTGTGATCGTGTCTGGCGTCTGCGCTTCCTCCGTCATCCTGTCTGCGTACGCTTCCGGGAACCATCCAGTCTTCCCCTCCACCTCTCCGCCGAGCCACCCGGGCTCCGGGTGCTGCTCCGTCGCCACCTGTCGACAAAACAAGAGAACGCTAGAGCGACGACGACCTTGGCAATTCACCATTTTGTTGTATTTTTTGTTTTTTGTACAATGTATTGCCGGCGGGTTTTTTCTCGCAATTTTCGCGGTGGACACATTATAAATGTTCATGTGTCAGAAATTTTAACGGCTATGAATAATTGCTCAAATTCAGTTTTTTACGAATGTTTACTGTTTGCGAATTTTATAATCTAATTAGTTACTTACTGCGATTACGATTACTATTATTACAGATTATTATGTTATTATTTATTATGGAATATTATAAATAATTATTTATTATTACCAGTGCTATTAACATTACTTTTCTCACGATAAATTGATTAATTTAAAACATTGATTAATTAATTGTCGTACTTTAGCATCTATCAAGTATAGAATGAGCATTGTTCACTTAGCTTTTTATTATTTTAGTAGTTTGTTATTATTTTTATTAATTATTTATGTTTTCACGTTTGTTTTCTGCAATTTCCACACACGCTATAAATTTTACATAATTTTTATTTTTTTTAAATTCCCATAGGAGGCGACACCCGCCACGCACGCTCTGGCAGGGGGCGCCACCACTCACCAGTATCACGTCGCCGGGGAGTATGCTCAGCTCGTCCTGGCCTCGCGCCACAAATTCGAAGTACTTGTGGTATTTCGGTTTTTCCTCCTTCGCCGCCACCGAGGGCGCCACCTCCAGCGTCGCCGGCGCCGGGGTCACGACCTCAGTCGACACCTCCGTCGCCGCGGGCGTCGACTCCGTCTGCTCGGCTGCAACGCGGAGAGAGAGAGAGCGGGCGGGGGTGAATGGGAATCCGAGAGGGGGCCCGGCAGGGGGATCGGGAAGCGAGACGAACGCGGTTGCTTAGTGATGCGTGCGTGCATGCTTGACATGCACCAGCGCCCCCTGCCGCCACCACCTGTGCCCGCTGGTGCCCTCTAGCGGCCACAATCAAACGTACCTTCGGACAGAAACTCAAACGGAACTTCGTCGTATGGATCCTCGTCGTCACGGTAACGCACGTCTATCTCGACAGTGGGCGCCGCATGCGCCGCGCCGGCTGCAAGCAGACCGTCGTCACGGTAACGGGAGCGAGCATCGTCGTCGGCCGTCGCCACGGCGACAGACGAGAGGCTGCCGCGTGCGATCGACGTGCTATTCTCTAAACATGCACTAGAGGGAGCCACCGGAACGTCGGCAAAACCGCTATCGCCAACATCATCGTCACTGCCGCTACCATTGCCAACATCACCACTACCGCCGCCACCATCACCAACATCACCGCCGCCATCATCACCAACATCACCGCCACCGACTACAAAGACAGGCAGAATAATAATGAGGCATGTGTGAAGATAGTTAAGCAAAGACAGCCTGTGTGGAAGATAGTAAATGATGAAATAAATGGAAAATGCAAATCAAAAATGCGAGAAAAAAAGAGGAACACTAGAATATATATAGTACATGTATATATGTATATATATATATTTATATATAATTATATATATATATATATATTATATAGATAACATTTGAGGGAAACACAATCACATGCAAACACATGCAATAAGAACGAAACACATGCAAAAATACCATCAGTGCGAAAACGAAAAAACAATCCATCAAATAATAAATAAATAAATAATATATCAGACAATATAAAACTTTCAATAAATCCACAACGAATTGATAATAAACAATGCGATTAATACAGCAAAACAATAAACAACACAACGAATAATAAATAACAATTAACGATTCCGCCGCCACAAAACCAATAACGAAGCAAGCGACGAATTAGCGAACTCGCTCAAACGGGCGAGAAGACGTAAACATCTGAGCATCCGAGCGATACCTAGATCTGCCGGAACCTCGTCGTACAGGGCCGGCCGCCAGGCGGCGCCACCGCCCGCCTTCTTTGTGCCGAAGTCCGTCGCCCACACGTCTGCGCTCTTGCTGCGCTCGGGCTGAGCGCGAGTGACGCCGGCGCCCCCTGGTGAGCCCCAGAAGTCGTCGAGGAGATTGTCGAGGGAGGAGCGGAACGACTTGGGGCCGCCGCCGCCGGTGGCGGCATCTTTCTTGAGGTTAGTGACGCGCGTGTCTGCATGCCGAAAACAAGAGCGCATGCAAAAACGAATGAACGCGTCAGGCAGGCTTAAGGATAAAACAGGTGAGAAAATCAAAAGGTACTGATAAATATATAGTATCACTAAAGTACAGGCAAATTCAGTGTCACTAAAGTACAGAAAGGCATCATTAATGTACAGGAAAGGTATTACTAAGGTAGAACTGAACAAATAGTAATCAAAGTGTTTCTAAAAGATAATAACAGAACTAAGCAAGGTAAACAGGCCAAAGACTGAGACTGGAGTAAGGAGGAAGAGAAGCAGTGGAGGCTGCGTAATATATCACTAGAAGATGCCAACAACATATTTTGAAGCAATCTGTAGTTTCTGGCCATCAATATTAGTAGTTCAGGGTGCACGTAGCTGAACCGAAGTTTGCTAGGGGGGTCCGGCATGCTGGCCCCCGGAAAATTTTTGTGATTCTGAGATGCAATTTCCTGCTTCTGAGGGTCAAAAATGAACAAAAAATGACAAAAATGACAATTTTGAAAAAAAAAAGTCTTTTCCCATCACAAGGAAATTCCTAGTTGAAGTACAAACTGATGTCCGTAGTGGTGCAAATAGAAATATAAATTCTATATAAAATACGGATAAATGGTTAGTGGTTGGGCTCTCTGATCTTCGGTGACCAAGTCTGTGGCATAACTGACAGCTGCATCGTATCGCAACGCCAACGCACAATAGTCAGGTGGCTACGGACACATTCAACAAAACCTAACCAAATGCTAATACTTTACAATACGTAGCTAAAATAAAACTCGNCATATATATTACTAATTATCAGACGAACTGCCACTATCACTATCTTGTAACAGAGGGTACATCTAGTTAGAATTACACTACAAAAAAAGTTCACATATAAATACACAACTCATGTATGGATATAGGAATATATATATATATATGCATATATATATGCATATATATATACATATATATAATATATATATATATATATATAATACATATATATAATATATATATATATATATAATACATATATATAATATATATATATATGCAGGTATTAGTGTATCTATGCATAAGTTTCTCACATTCCCAGAAATATTTCACGAGCAAATTGGAACCACCACGCTTCACTCAACGAGCATTTAAATGGCAGCAATTTCAAAAATCTTCAGTGAAATGATCTACAGTGTCGTTTTACACATCCGTATTGCTTTAAAANTGCACGCACGCACGCACGCACGCACGCACGCACGCACGCACGCACACACACACACACACACACACACACACGGACCAGTAACCGCACGCACTACACTAATACTACACGGCGCCAGAGGGCGCCCCGACGAGAGAAACAAGCGAGCGTACTTACACTGCGCGGGCACGGGGGACGTGCCACGACCTTGAACCTGAGCGTCGTTCAGCGATTGCACGTAATTGGACGGGAAGAGGCCCTGGTTGCCGTTCACCTCACCCATCCACCAATCAGGGTCCTGCTTGTTGACGACGTTGATGACGGACCCCTGAGACAGAAGAACGTCTCTAATACTGGTTTATATTGTGTTATACTGTGCTATTGTTGTTGTTGTTGTTGTTTTTATTATATTTCTTCCTTTTTTTATTGATTTTATCTTGTTTTATCTAGGGCTTTCGCACTTCTCTCTCTCTCTCTCTCTCTTCTCTCTCTCTCTCTCTCTCTCTCGCTCTCTCTCTCTCTCTCTGTGTCTCTCGCTCTCTCTCTGTGTCTCTCGCTCTCT